TTGAACTTGTTGGACAGCGCTGCACAGACGGCTGACTTGAGCAGTGCATGACGGTTAGAGCTTGTGTACGGCTTCAGACAGCGACGCCCCGTGACTGTGACGTATGGTCTCAGAGTACGGCGAGAGCGATTCGAGAGCAGGACTCAGCCAGAGCAGTTTCTCCAGAGCGACTCACGAGCTCTGATGACGACACAACTGATCCACGATTTGCCGAATCCACCGCACAAATCTGTTTTTTATAACAGTGAAAGCTCTTTTCATGTAGTCGCGATGTTATATTGTCATGGTTATCAAAATAAAACTGATACAATGTAGACCCCACTTCATTGGGATTTAGGCTTATGTTGAACTATATTCTTGTACAAACAGACGCTGTATTAAGCAGTACATGTATTGAATCAAAATGTCTCTGAAATATCGGTGTATTTGGCAAATAATGCATTTATTCCACTTCAGCTGTGGTAAAGTATGCAAACACAGCGCAAGCGTCACTACGGGAAGCAGAAAGAGTCAAACTCACGTCTCAGTTTTCAGCTCCTCCCGCCTCCACACGGCAACTCTCACCGATCGGTTACATCCAGCCACAGCCCATGTCCAACACAGCTAATGTAAAGGATGAAAGAGGGAGGAGTGAAGGTAAAGAGGGAGAAAATGGGGAGGAGTGAAGGTAAAGAGGATGGAAAAGAGGGAGGAGTGAAGGTAAACAGGTTGAAAAGAGGGAGGAGTGAAGGTAAACAGGTTGAAAAGAGGGAGGAGTAAAGGTAAAGAGGATGGAAAAGAGGGAGGATTGAAGGTAAAGAGGGAGAAAATGGGGGAGGAGTGAAGGTAAAGAGGATGGAAAAGAGGGAGGAGTGAAGGTAAAGAGGGAGAAAAGAGGGAGGAGTGAAGGTAAAGAGGATGGAAAAGAGGGAGGAGTGAAGGTAAAGAGGGAGAAAATGGGGGAGGAGTGAAGGTAAAGAGGATGGAAAAGAGGGAGGAGTGAAGGTAAAGAGGGAGAAAAGAGGGAGGAGTGAAGGTAAAGAGGATGGAAAAGAGGGAGGAGTGAAGGTAAAGAGGGAGAAAATGGGGGAGGAGTGAAGGTAAAGAGGATGGAAAAGAGGGAGGAGTGAAGGTAAAGAGGGAGAAAATGGGGAGGAGTGAAGGTAAAGAGGATGGAAAAGAGGGAGGAGTGAAGGTAAAGAGGTTGAAAAGAGGGAGGAGTGAAGGTAAAGAGGGAGGAGTGAAGGTAAAGGAGGAGGTAGAGATTTTGATGGGTGGATGGAGGAAATATCGAGGATGGTTGTGCACTGAGAATCATTCCCACCTCCAAGTTAATTGATTTTTCATTGTTCTTTTTTTTTTTTTTTATGTTTTTGAATTTCTGTCATTAACTGCAATGTGTACTTTCAACACAATGTGTTCAAGACTGTTAATATTAAAGAGTCATTTAATTGGAGTGTGTGTCACTCGAGTCCCCAAAGAGTCATTTAATCGGAGTGTGTGTGTCTCTCAAGTCCCCAAAGAGTCATTTACTTGGAGTGTGTGTCTCTCAAGTCCCGAAAGAGTCATTTAATCGGAGTGTGTGTGTCTCTCAAGTCCCCAAAGAGTCATTTAATCGGAGTGTGTGTGTCTCTCAAGTCCCCAAAGAGTCATTTAATCGGAGTGTGTGTGTGTGTGTGTGTGTCTCTCAAGTCCCCAAAGAGTCATTTAATCGGAGTGTGTGTGTCTCTCAAGTCCCCAAAGAATCATTTAATCAGAGTGTGTGTGTGTGTCTCTCAAGTCCCCAAAGAGTCATTTAATCGGAGTGTGTGTGTGTGTCTCTCAAGTCCCCAAAGAGTCATTTAATCGGAGTGTGTGTGTCTCTCAAGTCCCCAAAGAGTCATTTAATCGGAGTGTGTGTGTGTCTCTCAAGTCCCCAAAGAGTCATTTAATCGGAGTGTGTGTGTCTCTCAAGTCCCCAAAGAGTCATTTAATCGGAGTGTGTGTGTGTCTCTCAAGTCCCCAAAGAATCATTTAATCGGAGTGTGTGTGTCTCTCAAGTCCCCAAAGAGTCATTTAATCGGAGTGTGTGTGTCTCTCAAGTCCCCAAAGAGTCATTTAATCGGAGTGTGTGTGTCTCTCAAGTCCCCAAAGAGTCATTTAATCGGAGTGTGTGTGTGTCTATCAAGTCCCCAAAGAGTCATTTAATTGAAGTGTGTGTTTTTTTTGTTTGTTTTTTGGACAATTACTACACTTTACAGAAGAACATGACTAATGTGTTAAAGCCCCAGTGAGTTAGCCTGGCTCCGCCCTCCTACGCACTTCCGCTCAATTTTATTTTCCTTCAGTACTACGTCTGGGATTGTGCTGTAGACTTTGGTTTCCAGAAATAATTTTTTTACCGGTCCAATCAGCGAACAGAGGGAGTGGCTGAGAACGATGACGTTGATGTAGCGCGTCAGTTTGAGTTGGAGTTCAGTAATGGCAGCGGAGAAAGACGTGAGAAAATCTATTCGGTCCGTTGTTGCAAAACTGCCGAATATCCAGAAGTTAAAGCCGGAGCAAGATCAATGTTTGCTAAGTGTTGTTGGTGGCCATGATGTTGTGGCCCTCCTCCCCAAGGGGTTCGGGAAAAGTTTAATTTTCCAGCTCACTCCGCTAGTGGTGAATGAGTTAGCTAAGGCGAACGATAGGATGCAAAGCCGATAGTTGTTGTCGTCTCCTCTTGTTGCACTAATGGAGGACCAAGTGAGGGAGGCAGAAAGGTTAGGAGTTGGTGCTGGGCAGCTCGGCGTGCACGATGATCACTGTACAGCATTTGCGGCAGATCCGAAACGACCGCAGCGGCGTATTGTTAATGATTACACCCAGCTTCGACAGTTGACTGAATACATCACTGTCCTTAGTGTCAAATAAACATTTAGAATTTAGAATTGTTCCTTGAACTCTTAAATTCGATGAACAAAACATGCAGCTCTCGTTGACAGACATCTTATTCTAAACATAATCCTCTGATCATTCGGACTTGTTTTTTTATTGCTTAAAACAATACACAAGTAATAACAGAAAACATAATACAAAAACAAACAAAAAATAATAATAAAAACAAAACAAAAATAAAACAGTAGGAGGATAATATAAAATAAACATGAACAAGTTAAGAGAATTACATGACACTGAAAAAGGAAAATAATTACAAACAGTTAATGTTTTTAAGGCTTTTTTTGTTCTCAGACAACTTAATTGAAAAGAGGTATTTTTAAAATTCTTTCACAAATATAAGAAAGAGAGGTTTAGCATTTAGATATTTAGATTTATGAATATGGAATTCGGACTTGTTGTTTCCAGCCGGTTACGGCGCATGACATACGTCACGACCACACGTTAGCGATTGGCTATGGCAGATCCTGAGTGACGCTGGGCAGATCCAATAGTTTTGAACTTTAACAGAGAACCCGCCTACAAGGAAGTAAACGTTTCTCAATGGAGCGAGGCCAGACTCTCTGTACAAATGAAATGTACGAGAGTCTGGTAGAACCAGGCTACCAGTGAGTAGCCAAAGACTCAAGATGTTTTTGTGATAATGATTATTTTGCAGTCGATGCTAAATTAACTAGAGGGATGCAGGCCGTGGTCTTAGAAAAACTATTTAGGCTATATATATATATATTAGTTTGCGTGCCGTGTGCTCGGCTGCTTGCTGTGTTGTGATCGTAATTATACGATCACGCGAGAGAGAAAGTAGATGTGTGCAGTTTCAGCCGTCCTCCTCTGATTGTGATGTGATCGAAATAACAAACAAAACAATTTTGTAAAATGATATATGAATCATTTTTATTTTATCATATATCATTTTACAAAACTTTTTTGTGCATGTGCTCCCGCACACACAATTTCAGTCACAACACGCAGTCAGAGGATGCGCTGAAACATCAGCTCGCGATGCTGTTCCCTTCATTCATAACTCGGACTGAGAAGGATAGGCTATATTTGTGTAAATAGTTGTGCAACTGCGCAAACTTTATGAAGTTTAATGTTTGGGTTCCAGGGGAATTTATGACTGTTTCACCTTTTCAACCTCATCAAAGTTTCGTAATTAGTAAGTTCTGTGCTTTTTCTCTTTTTTTTCTTGTGTGCTGACTGATGAGGGGCCGATGTGCCTTGGTGAAACGGTGTTTGTACATGTAGCTTATTTTTTTAATTATCGTGGCAAGCAATCATAAAATACAGCATATTGCACAAAAAAAAAGCAATTTACTGAGAAACGGACCTCGGGTTTGGGTCGGGCTCAGGCTTAAAATATAACCGTAATGTTCGGGTCAGGTTAAATGATTTCGGGTACGGGCCGGGTTTGGGCTTAAGTTTAAAGCCTGTGCTGACCTCTACTTCAGGCACATAACTTGTAAAATTTCAGCAATTATTAAATGACTTCTGTAGAGCTGTTTTACAGTTGAAATAGAATTGAGCTGAATAATGACACTATTGTCTTCAGTTCCATCTTTGGTTCTCTCTGATAGTCAATCAATCAAATACAGTCAAATGAATAATATTTCTGAATGTTAATTGTCATTCCCCAACTGAGCAGTGAAGGACACTTCATCTCAAGCTACAAATCAGACAAAAATGTTGGCTACCCATTTTCTGTGATCTTGACGAAATAAAAATAAAAATAAAAAACTGTTTACTCACTAAATATATACCATCTCAACAAAGTCCTGATATTATACCTTTACCAGAATCTGTGTATCACCATGGTCCTCAAAGTATGACTTAACCAGAGTCTGTGTATCACCATGGTCCTCAAAGTATGACTTGATCAGAGTTTGTGTTTAATGTCCCCAAAATGGACATAAAAAATACTGTCCCTAAAGTGAAGGCAAAATGTCAGGTCTTTAAGGAAGACTTTTATTAATAAAATCAAGTGATAAGTGTGATGACAGCTTCTCCAGAAGTGCAGTCATGTCTTTCTTTTGTCTCTAGACCCTTCAGAAAGGGGTGTCCCTAAAGGTAGGGTTCCCAGTCATACGTCCTCACATTGTGGTTAAGTAGGTATGTGTGTGTGTGTGTGTGTGTGTGTGTGTGTGTGAGGCACCACAGGGTTAAAGCCGTCACATTAGCCTGAAATTAACTGCACTGTAATAGGGGTGAGGAGGCCCTCTCAAACATTTCACATAAGGAAAGGTCTTAAAGGTGTTGCTGAATCAATCACTTACAAAATGTCACTGTTTATATACACAAAAGTGCCTTCGCTGTGACCGTTAAACATCTAGTCATGCAGAGAATCTTTCAAAGGGGTCGACTGCAATACAACTGAAGCATATGGACTTTTCAAAGGCACCACCCATGCTTAGTCTGTCGCACCAGATGGACCGAAACACGTGGACACAGATTGTTATATCATGATCGGAATATGCACAAAGATATTCCAGTTGTGAGATCACAGGGCAGTACTTGCTACTTTTTCAATAAGCTTAAGGCACTTGGCGTTTGACGAAAGGAAATTGAACAAAGACACTAAATAGCTCGGGACCATACACCTGAAGGTAAAAAAAAATTAAATGGCACTCTCTGTGAACTATCATTCCACGCTGAAGGGGATAACTGTATCAATGCAGAGAAAAGCTTAGATCACTTTACCTAAGTCCTGGAACAAACACTCTTCAGTTAGTTGCTCCCTTTAGTATGGAAAAAACTGGGCCATTCACAAAGCTGGAAAATCAGATACAGGTGATCCAGTACTCCGAAAAATAGTCTATAAAAAGTCCTCCAATTACTATAAAATCCCAAAGATTTGGCTTTTTCTTTCGTCCAGATTGCTCTCTCCATTCTGGACAGAAGCCCTGAATATTGTTCATATGTGCTTTTTCATTCTATATACACCAATAATACTTAGTACACAGGTTTAGGGTACGATTGCAACTCTCTTTTGTAACATTTGACATTTTCTCTTTGGCTTTTCATCATACAAAAAAAAAAGGAAAATAAAAATAAATAAAAACAATCTCTTTTTGGTTTTCAATTGGTTGTTTGGCTCGGTGATTGAACAAAAAAGAAGTTTTTTTTTGTTTTGTTTTATAAATACTGCATTGTCTGAGTGTCCAACGGTCAAAACAGATTATAAATAAAGCAGTTTCCTCCTTTTAGAAAAGTAATTTTTAAGAAATGCACGTACTGCAAAATCTGCAAAGAAAGGCACGTTCAGAACTAAACAGTTTTGTGCATTTTTATGGCCAACACATTCCGGCCTCCACTCTTTGAGGTGCAGGTTCAAATGAAGATGAGGTGAGAGTTGAATACTGTGAATGGTATACAGTGATGTCTCTTTAGAAAGTATAGTTAGTGGTTCCCCCCTCTAGCTGGGAGAGTAGCGGTCAATGGTGCGGGACTCTGCCGAGAGCTGCTGGGAAGTGGGCGGCAAAGACGGGTTCAGGATGTCCATCTTGTTGTGGGTGAGGCCGAGGTGTTCCACGGCCAGCTTTGACAGCGGGTAGAGGCTCTCCATAACCTTGGTGTCAGCCAGCAGGTGCTGAGAAGCTGCAAAAAGGTCTGAGGTTTTCTCCTGCTTCAGACCCAAATGCTCAGCTGCGTACTTGCTCAGGGGATAAATACCCTCGGAGAAGTCCATCTTCAGCTTGCCGTCAGGAGTCAGTCCTCCACCAGCTGCTACACTGCTGTGCATCTTCATGTGACTGATGAGGTTGCGCTGCTGTGCAAACTTGCCACCGCACACCTGGCACTCGTAGGGCTTCTCTCCGGAGTGAATGCGCATATGCTCCGTCAGACGGTACTGCCGAGTAAAGCGCATGCCGCAGGCGTCACAGGCGAAGGGTTTTAGGCCCAAATGGCTGCGCATGTGGCGTGTCATGGTACCACGTTGGGTGAACTTCTTGCCACAGATGCTACAGGGGTATGGGCGTGTAAGCCAGTGGGTTTTTTCATGCTGCCTCAGGGTGGCGGGATCTTTATAAGACTTGTCACAGGAAGAACAGCGATATGGTCGTATGATCTCCCCAAGTCCAATGGAATGGAGGTTTTGTGCCGACTTGTTGTCTAGGAAAGGGCTGTGGAGGCCACTAGTGCTGTTCAAGCTTGTAGGTCCATGGGCATTGGTGGGTTTGCTGCTGTTGTTGTCCAGCTCACTCCCATTGTTTAGCTCTTCCTCATTATGCGTTTCCACATGAGCATTAAGCTGCTCTGAGCTGGGGAAGCCTTTGTCGCAAGGGATGCACACGTACAAGTTATCCCCGAAACTCTCTGGCTCGTACGGCATGTGATATCTTCCACCTGGAACAGGTGGAGATGGACGACCCCCACTGCTCCCCGTCTCCTCGCTGCCGGTCCCATTCTCATCCTCTGCATCATCGCAAGTCCCCCTGTCATAGCCCAGCTCGCTCATATTCAGCTTTTCCTCGCTATTCTTATGGTGGTTCACGTGCTGGTGGTGTCTCTCTTTATCCTGCTCACCCATTCCTCCACTGTCATCGTCTTCGTCCTCCTCATCTTCATCCTCTGGGTTGGAAGGCTCATTCTTCACCCACCGATAGATGCTGGACCCATCTCGACCTTGTTCTCTGGAGTCCTCCATGGGTTCTGGGCTGGGAGGGCAGGGGTAAGGTTCTTGGCCCTGAGGACGGTGCAGGTGGGGAAGATGGGGTGCAAGTGGATGATTGGGTAGGGGGAAAGGATGTGGGGTGAGAGACCCCGCATGATGGGCTGCCTCCATTTTTCTGGAGCCATCGTTAGGACTGAGCAGGGGGCTGGTGCTTTGGTCTAGCTCCCCCTCAGGCCCCTCCTCTGGGTGAAGTGAGGAGATCAAGTGGGGATGACCAGAAGGATGCTGGGATTGGGGGCTTTTCTTGGACAAGTCAAGGCCATAGACAGATGAGCAGTTCCTGTCAGTAGGGGCCAAGCGCAGGCCTGACTGTGGCGACAGGGATGCCTTTGCTGGGGGGTATGGTGGTGGACCCTGGGTGTGAGCTGGTGCATAAATCTCTCCGCCATGGGGGGGCAGTGGGAGGGGGGGCAGGTCCTCTAATGGTGTAGGTCGCGGGGTGCTCACTACTGAGTGGATGACAGGGGGAGATATTCGAAACCGCCTTCCCCCCATGCCACTGGGGTCTATCTTGTATGGTAAAAACCCAGGGTTAGGACGTAAATGGTACTTCCCATTCCTCTTCAGCTTCTTCTTGCATAGAGTCACCAGATCCAACAGTTGCAGGTAACTTGCAGCCGCCAGCACTGCACCTATATTTGGCTCAGTTGGTGAGGTGGGGTCACCTTCACTTAAGCGTCCTGTGTAAATATAGTCAAGAATGACTCGAAACACACCTGGACTGACCATTTCATGGTCCAGATTGATGAGATTGTCATGAACAACAAGAGACTTAAGGTAGAGGCTGCTGGCTGCCAGGATGTTCTTGTGAGCACGGAACAGTGCATTCTGCACCACAATGATAACATCACATAAGAAGCCTTTGGTTCGTTGTGTGTTCAATTGCAAGAGGAGGTGCCTAGCATGACTTGGGACTTCCATGGCATCCAGCATCGACTTCAGACCAATACCTGAAACAGAAGAGAAATGCAACAATTAGAAGCCAGAAATTTGTTGCAGACAAATATAAACTACCAGATTTAGATGCTTATCAAATGCAGCTGAATGTTGCTAACTTATTTGAGTACTGTGGTATAAGAGGCCATGCCTATTCCCTTTTTTTAAATAGCTGTCTTTTGACATATAACACACATAACTGACACATCTGTTCGTGTTAGACTACCTTGTAAAACTTGACTGGCAGCCCTTAAAGATATGAAAAAGAACACTTAAGCTTGTGTGCATTTTCTTGAGCCTGAATATGGTTCTTCATTTACTCTTTGATATATTTGTAGACTTTCAGGTAGGGAATTGAGGGCAAACAATTCAGCTTTTCCTTTAATACAACAAGCATCAGAAGAACTCCATAAAAGTGAGCTATAGCTGACCGAGTGAGACTGCAATGGTTTTGTCATTATCAAGATACAAACCCACATGTTTAAAACTTACAGTGAAGTAGTTAACAAAAAAAGAAAGAAAAAAGACAGAGGACAAATGCCAGTATAAACATGTTTTCATATTGCTGTCTTCCTGATAAAGAATTCCAGAGGTGGTGTGTGGAGTTTTAAACAAAGTCAGACTGAAGGTTTTGCAAGTGTGATGAACAGCAGGCATAAACCAGCAGGGACAAAAAAATGCAGCAAATTCATGACAGGACACTCTGCTGTAGTATACTGTATAGAAGTGTGACTTACAAATCAACCCATTTTCAAAAGATCACTTGTCAGAGGGTTCTTACAAGTTACTGCATAAACATTCAACCAACAATGGCAAGTTAAAATTCTAAGCTGAATGCAACAATTCGCAAACCTAATATTTTCTGGTAAATTTGTAATGTTTATTGTTCAAACCCTGCTACGTAAGGATAGTCTGTAGATAAAACGGATATTTAGGGTCCCTCGGGGGCTGGTTTCACTGATGGGAAACAAGAAGCTAAATAAATACAGTCATCACAACATCAGTTCCTCCTCTCATTGTTTATTTCATTGTATAAAATAATCCTCTAAGATGAATACTGTAGTTTGTAGTAATAAGCTTCCATTTAATTAGCCCTTAAATCCAGCAATGCAATCTACCCTATAAATTCAACCACAGCTCCAAGCATGAATAATACTTAACCAAACAGTTGCCAGAAAACCAGTTATACACAATGTGTGAATTATTCAATGACTTTTAGTGGTTCGACTTTTTTAAGAAATTCCTGTCAGTAATTTTCTGGTTATTCATCTTCTATAACCCATTAAAACAACATTCAGGAAATTACTTATATATATATATATTTGTGTGTATTCTTGTGGTTTATGAGGACACACATTTGTATAATAACATGGGTATTATAACGTAAATATGGTTTATGAGGACACTTCCTGTGTGTGCATGTGTGTAAAACTACAACAAAGTTTTAAGAAATTAGTAGACTACTGTTTTTTGCTGTGTGTGTGTGGGGGGGGGGGGGGGGGGGGGGGGGGGGAGGGGGGGGGGGGGTCAGATCCCCTCAAACCCCCTCAAACCCCCCATAATGTAACCCCTGGTAACATGAGTTTCTGGTTTCCACTATTCATATTTATAAAAATTTAAACAGTAAAATGTGATGCACATAAAAAGCTACATCTCTGTCTCTCTCGCACTGTAGAGACGCGCTTGTCATTCTGGTATCTCCACTATAGAACTAGACACAGTGAGAGAGAGAAACCATACATGGACAGAATTAAAGTTCGTCTATTAAAAAATATATATTAAAAAAAATATTAAGATATTAATTTAAAAAAATACTGAATACATATATTTATAAAACAATTAGCCTACCCGTGTACATTTTTGTGACAAAACTATTCATTTAGCCCGGTGCCAAAAAAACATTTCCACATCAGGGAAAAAACAACAACGCTTAAAAATCAGAAGACATGGTTTTAAATGATTTCTGAACATTTCCGTCTTGTGGAAATAATGCCGGAGCTGGTTATTTTCGGTCTGCAGTGCACCTGTAGGCTATAGCCTACCTTCCTCCTTTATGTCAGCCTGACCACTCGAGTTACAGGTTATTCAATACAATTTTCCTAATTCATAAATCATGTATTCCGTTTAATTTCTAACTGCGGGTCATTTATAGTTGTTTTAAACGATTAGCTATATAATAGCATAATTTGTAATTAGGCCTATATAAAAGAGGATACACTTTCACGACCGCACAGAAACAAAGAGACGAAATTATATCAATTGCCTGTTGCAGGCAAACAATGAAGCGCCTCAACCAAACAAACATTACCCGCAACATTTCCTCTCAGCCCGCATCTGTCTTCAGCGCCTGTCTTAATAAAAGCACTAACGTTGTGTAACTCATCTCCTCCCCTGCTGCCCACGGACACGTCTCATCACTGACAGGTGTATTTTAAGGTGAATGTCGTAGGCTACTGTCCCGAACGTGCTGCTTTTAACAACTTCTATTAAGCACAAGAAGATGACAAAATAGAAGGAAAAATGTAAACAATAAAGAAAGAAACGGGGCAAAATGGAAAGTGGGCTGTGTTAAGCCTTCACCTGAACGTTTTTATAAGAAATACAAAGAACGAAAATTAGTCAGACAGCAACTGACGTTGTCAACAAACATATAAAAATCCTTTCAGACCTTCAACGTTTTAAGATTAAAAGGGAAGTGATGAAAGACGTGTTTTAAAACGACTGTTTAAACTTCACGCGTAAACACTTAGACTTCCTCTCAATCATATAGCCTATCACCTTTCGGATTTACATTACGCGTCTTTAAAACACACTTTTATGCATCAGAGAATTTGAGTGAATATGATTCCATTTGAGAATCGACTCATTTAAATTAAGCCTTTTTTTAAAACGTCTCGACAAAAGTGGTTTTGATCTAAACTTTAGAAAACATTAGCCTAAATAATGGGTCGTCAATCTCAAAAACATTTTACTGAATAAATAAAGTTAATTTGAATAACTAATTTGAATATAAATACAAACGCTATCGATGCTCAATAAAATGTCACTTGTTTGGGTGTGCAGTGCATCATGCGACAGCTTGGTCTTGCTATATTTGGTATGGTATGGACTGGATTAAAGACAGTGCATGGGTCATATTTTAGGTGCTTTGGTATTCATTAGCCCTGTGTTTTGTCTCTGTTGTCATTTTGCTGGTTTAGGGGCGAGGCAGGGGTCTGCTCGTGTTCTTAAGACTTCCTCTCTCTCTCCGCCCTCGGTCTGTCATCTTTCTTTTTTTTCTTTTTTTTTTTTTACCGCAAAAGCGTCCTCCCTTAGAGATTTATCCCGTAGAATGAGTCTAATGTGCCTTTAAGGAATCAGTCATAAAGCATATCTTTCAAAATTGCTTAAGTGGCGTATAGACTTTTAGACGTTGTAAACACTAGAAACACAAGAAATATTTAGGCCTGTATTTTTTTCTCTTTTTTTTTTTAGGAAAAGGAATGGACAAAATACAAGCGTAATTTAAAGAATGTTGGCCCTATAATTTGAAATAGCCTAAATAAATTTCAGATAGCCTACACGTGTTCAATACATAAAAAGAGAATAAAAATGGTTTAAATTAGTTTTTCATTTATGTCAGTTTTAAGTGTTTTAAAAGAGTTTGCAATAACTTATTTTTCAAGTTTCACTGTTTCCCAAGACATGTTTTGTGAATGGAAGGTAAAACCTGCGCAAAACCTCTTGCCACCAAGAAGCGAGCGTTTGTCTTGGATCGTGCCTGTTTAAAGTGGTTTAAAGTCAAACAGCAAAACAACTGAGATTTATCGACCATTTTGCATATATTTTGAAGGTAGGAGCTTGGAAAAAGAGCATATCATGCGTTACAGACTCCTCTTCCACAGCTTGTCTTATTGCGATCATATTCTCTCGCGCGCTCCATCAGCACACGCAGCTCTCGATATTCATTCATAAATAACCTACTGGGAGGATTTGCTCACCATCCCCTATATGTGGCCTCTATGGTCAGGGATGAGATGGAAATAGGCTATTCTAACCACATATCACATAATCTAGGCCTATATCGGTTTTATGTTCGGTAGTGTAGGCTACCTTATAGCATAAGAATCTCTTGGATGGAGTGTATTAGAGAAGTTGAAAATAAAAAATTCTAGGCAAGCATGTGAATATGCTCATTCTCTCTCATGAGCATGTTACACTTTGAAATGTTAACTAAAGTGAAAAAAATATTATAAACAATATTTTATGCCATACAATTATTTCTTAGTTTTGCATCTGGTCTTTTAAAAAAATATTTGTTTGACTCCGTATAAAACTAAATTATATCACTCCATTAAATCCTTTAGTTTTCAGTGAACAATTTACATTATCGAGAGCTAGTCTATAAACGTGTGGAAATGTTGTTCAGTCTAAACAGAGAATCTAATCAAAAATAGCATAAGTGACATCAACAATCTAAGACTCTCAAAACATGCAGAATTTAAATTGTTCATTTACGTTCAGACTGAACTTTAAGCAAGACATCGTGTAGCTCTTTAAAGTCAAATCACTCGCATGTGAAACACCATGAATTCTCAATTAAGGATGAGCTGAGAGCCCCGTCACTGTGATGATCACACCGCCAATCACCGATCACAACACTTCTGGATTCATAATGCGATTAAACTTGTACTTTGTAATTAAGTCCCTTGTTCGCTTTCTCAATGCAATACATGAAAACTTTAACGTTTTAAATATTTTAAAACTTTTAATATCTCCAAAAAAGTAAGTAGGCTATTAGCATGTTGAAAATAATCGTGGGGTTAATAGCCTAAAATGTGCAATAGCCTACAAAATACCGAAAGGCAAACAATCGGGTCTTAATTTTTTAAAACATCTAACTCCAAAAGTGATGACAATTTAAACAGTTTAATCAGTTGCTCGGAATAATATTGTGTAGGCTATATCTATGAATAAAGTGTTGATGAAGAGGCTATAGTTAAAATGTTAAGAGCATTGAACGTTACCTGGATGCCCGATCTCTTCTGCCATCCGATCTAAGTCTCCCTTAATGATCATCTCAACAGTCTTTTGGAGTCATTTCTGACGTTTCAACTTTGAACTGCCAGCCTCCCAAAAACCATGCCAGTTTTCCGAGCACGACTGCCAACTCTTTTTTATTATTAATTGCAATGAATTTCGTGTTGCTCACCCTCCCTCTTGCTCTCTGTCCCTCCTCCTCCTATCTCTCTCTCCCTCTCTCTCTCTCTCTCTCACTCACTCCTCCTATAAAAATACGTGCGTACTCCTCCATCAGTTTTCCTCGTTTTTTTTTTTGTATGTTTTGTAATTTCCTTGTCTATTTTTGCATGGATGTAATAACGCGACTGCAGATGATAATGGGCTTCTGGGCTGTGAGTGTTTTTAGCGCCTCGTGTGATGTCAGTCTACAATAAAACTAAAAGGTAAAATCGAGGGCAGGAACTTAGAGTGACCCCAACTTGAACTTCTCAACACATCGAGGCTTCGTCTTAAAGAGACAGGCGTTTTATCGTATCACAACATATTTTTACGTTATAGAGTAGCCGTTGTTATGACTGTGAACTTACGGATAGCCTAATGGTGGCCATAACGTCTGTAGCCTATTGAAATCCTGATAATGTTATTCAGGGAAATAAATACTGAAACGGCACACCCCCTGTCTGTAGCCTATGTTTACTCACAAATACACTAATTAACTTTTGTATTAAAATGTAGGCCTATGTCTTATTTAAATTTTATTAATTTAATACAGATGCACAAGAGTTGCAAAAAAAAGTACCATCGTGGTTTTAAGGTGACGTAGTTACATTGTACTTACTCAAATAAGTAGGCTGAGTAATATTAATTTAACATGTACTTACTAAACAGTGACGGTTAAGGTTTGGTTTAGGGTTAGTTACTTGTAATGATGCATAATTTACTGTTATTTCTAGTAAGTACAATGCAGTAACGTGTAAATACGTCATCTTAAAATAAAGTGTTACAGTAGTTTTTTGTACGGGAACTTATGGTAGGCAATGTTTTGATCTCAAACAATTAGATGCCCTTGACACTGAAGTTGAAAAATTCAATCTATAATTATCTGATTTAAGATTTGTAAGCTAATTTATTGGTGTATCTGTAGCATCAGTACTATCTATCTTTAGTGACACAATTCATAACTCACACACTTTTACACAGGCATTTATTTGATCCCGATATTTAGACAGAAAAGCTGCAGGAATTATGCAGACTGCATCACCCAACACACTGACAAAAAAAAATGTAGTCCAATGATGTAACTACACCACTGGAAATTTTGTGAGCTTCAATAATAGATGTGTGTCATCTTCATTTATTTAGCTAATTGTTTATTCTGAAAATTAAGGCTCAAGTAAGATTATTCTTTTTATTAGCAGGTCTAATGTCAGTGTAATAGATGTCATGGCCTATTGACAGATCGCAGTTTATTGCTAACTCTTAACAAAAAAGGTTTTGAATTCAGTACTGGTGCTTTAAAGAACCCAGAACCCACTGGTCTTAAGAACCCATAATGTGACATCAAAAACAATTTTTTTTTTTATCTCCAAAAAAACAATATAGCCTAACTCATACAAAACCACACACAGTTAAAAAAACGGCTCTTCATCAGGATACGGTTACTAAAACGCTTTGCTGAACTTTAGAACTCTTGGAGAACCTTCATTTTTAAGCATATATATTGATCAGTTTTGTTCTAACAGCTATACAGACGGAATGAAATATGTTGTAGTATATAGACTAATATTGATAGTAGGCTATGTGATAGTTACTCTGGTTGGTGGTAAGTTGTATTTTGTTTTGTTTTATATGTCAAATTTTGGGATGAAAACATTTTAAGATATTTTGTATGTATTTTAAGATGCATACTAAATAGTATTTAAAAAAGAAAATCCGATTAAAAACTACAATACGTTTCCCTGCTGTCCAGACACGCCTGCATGCACGAGCGCCAGTTATCGTAATCTATCAGGTAGCCTAGTATGTTGGCACGCGCTCACTTAGCACACCTGAACGCGCCGCAGGTAACTCACACGATACATTCATTAACATAAACTCACCTCGGATTCATGTCTGATGCTCTTGCCGATCTTTACTTTCCCTTTACGGGATTTCCCCTGTCCAAAGATCCCCAATCGTCCAAATTCCTCTTTAAAACGTAAACCTTTCCCGGTGTTACCAGCTTCTTCCGTGTTGTCCCTTGTCCTTTACCCTTCTCCCCTTCTCTCTCCCTCTCCTCTCCTCGTGTTAGAATGGATCGGACACTTGAGAATCTGGATGGACTCTGATTGGCGTTCGTCCTCAGAATCACTGCAGGCTGCGCGCGCAGCGACACCTAATGGCTTATATTATAGGCTACAGAATACATACATTCGTCATAAAATGTGCCATGCATTTCTAAACTAACATAAGCACATTCTTTGTTAGATGGATGTAATTAATAGTGGTAGAATTCAAAATAAAATATCTGGTACGGTATCTGTAACGAGGCAGAACTATTGTGAAATTCTCGTGTCAAGTCACCTTTATAGCGCTGTTGCAGCTTTACAGTGATACATGGAAATAATGATCAATAATACAAACAGAATTCAATTCTGCTGTAAAGCGTATAAAAAAAAGAAAATAGTGTCATTAGCCCATACCAAGTTGTATTAAAATTGCATGGCAAGTAAAATTGCATATGCCAATGTTCCTGGATCAACATATTTTGTCGATCCTGCACAACATTCCTGTCCAAAAATGTTGTCCTCTTAATCCTATCCCTATCCCTAATCCTACGCATAAATTATCCCTAAAATCAGAGGGAAATGGTAGCTAAATAACACTGATGTAGAAGCACATAACCCTGGTTGTAAGCCTAAACTTGACATAAACTGTAATATTGTCACTAAAATCTGATTGGTTGATTGGAATGTTGTTCCAGGACCAACAAAAATGTTGACCCAGCAACTTCTTGTCCTTGGTGAAATCATGTTCACCATATTGATATTGTAATATTAGGATTAATTACCTTTTAATTTTCTGATTAGTTTTATAAATGTTTAATTTTGCAATGCAGCAGAATTTATGTTTTTGTTACAGATTATTGTAACCACATGAAAAAGTTCACCTGTTCTTGTTTTTTAAAGTGAGGATTTTGTGGTGTTAAATTCTTTAACAAGTTCTTAAATAACTTTCTTTCTTTCAGGTTTTTTATTTATCCTATTCCCCTTTATTTATCACATATTATTAATTTTTATTAAGTACAGTTTTATTTTTATTAAATACTGGCAGAAAAGACATACCAAGTGTCTTTAAGGACTTTTTTTTTTGAGACTGAGTATTTCATGTTTTATAAGGCCTTCATTCATGCATAATCTTGCTGCACACAGTTTTAATAGTTATTAATATTTTCTTGTAAGAAACATGACAACTATAATACACCTTCAGTCTGACTGCCTAGTGAATTTAAGACAGAGATTCCCATGGTGTCATGTTCTGTCATTATTTTTGCTATCACTTTGTGGCGTCTCTCGTTTGTTGTTGATCGCTGAGATGAAAGTGTTTTTTCGTCGGGCACTCAGCTGGCAGAAGCCTTTTCATGTCGCAACCTGCCCCCCAGGACCTTGAATTACTCTAACAGCTGACTGACATCTGTTTCCTGGTCTCTCTCCTGAAATTACTGCAGTTCAAGATGCTGCTTTTTAATTAGAATTGTCAAACTCATAGCAGTCTGGCTTTACTGAGGTGAATGTATTGTCTTTCACTTCCAGTTTCTCTTGATGAACTTATGATAACCTCAAAAATCAGAGATAGGCAGAGCTAGACAAAGGACAGATCAGGGTCCAAACAGCACCTGGATGTTTTTCAGGTCACTTTTAATGTTACGATGTGGTATAAAATTCACTGCCCATATGTCGGAGAGAAACAATGGGAATCAGTTGCTCGAAATAGCTAAGTTGTTGAATATAATTGCCGAATTTGACCCCTGTGACTCACTGACCTTGACTCATGTGACACCGAAGTCATTTGGCTCTGTTATGTTTGTTGTTTGTTTACTGGCTCGTTATATTAGTCAAAGTCAGCTCTTTCGCTTTCTTGAGGACACACTGGGCCTCATTCGTGGAACATGAGCAGAACGAATTTCTAACCATTCTTACATAAAGTCACATTCAATTAACATAAAAAATGTACACACAAATTTGTTCTGCTTGTGTTTCATGAATGATGCCCAGTATGCGCACAAGCAAAATTTTAATTTTGTTGATTTGGATACATGTTCAAGTCAGGGATTTGGAAACACTTCAGACATCACATAGCCAATCTCTCTGAACGACAGAGGAAACTGCAAGACTTTATCTCAGCAATCACAGTTACCTCCCGGCAGCCATGCAGCTAGCTATGAATACGCACTTTAACATATTAGAAACTGATCTGAATTCCTAATGAGTCAACAACAGGTGAATGCCTCCTACTCACTGGTGTTAACAGTGATTAAGTGAATGAAAGCTGTGAAAACGTTAACCAGGCCTACCACTGGATCACAGAGCACACTTGCACAACCACTGACACATAACAATCAGCTGTCACCTACTAAACAACACACCTATTGTTTATTTGAATGTGCACACGTGTGTGTCAGAAACATTTGTATGTGTGAAAAAGTGTGACAGGATTGTGTGTGTGTGTAAGAGATGGAGAGAGTGCAAGAGAGCTGAACAAATTTTGTTTTAACAAGTGGGATGTTTATGTGCTGCATGTTAAACTTTATTGGCCGTGTGCATGAGTGATATTGGTCTGTGAGTGGGTCTGTGAGACTGCACTTTTCTGTCAAAGTTGAGAATAATCTGAGAAATGTCTGACTTGGGACCAACGCATCAAGTTTAAGTATGCATAGGGAATGACTAATAGCATTCCACTCAATTTACTATAACATTGTTGTTTCCGAGCATAAGGCCTACAGTTAAAGCAAGGGCGAATTACGGTCCTGCAAATCTCAGGTGCACCGGCGTCGCTGGAGGCCCCCTGTTGTTGCAATTATGAGGAAAAATCCTTATAAATAAATAAATAATACTATAAAATTTAAATAAAACCATAGAAAATGATAAACCATAATATAGAATTATATTAATTTAAAAAAGTAAATAATAATAACATAGATAAGAATAACAATAATATAAATATAAATGAATCAATAAATGAACAGCCTAATTATAAAAAAAATAACCATTATAGAGATTTATAACAATTTATTAATAAACAGAAAAAAAATATTATTATAAATTATAAATATATAAATATAAACTAAGGAATTAATAAATAAAAGTAAATAATAATTTATCATAAAAAATTATAACAATTGAAAAATACATAAATACCAGTAATAATAAAGCATAAATAAACAATAGCCTACAGAATAGTT